GAAAGGACGACACCGTCCCCCGAGTCGATGCTGATCGCACGGTTTTTATAGTCGTTAAAAAGTGTCTATGGGTCCGATGGATTTCTCCAGCGTCACAAATATCAGCTTGTAGAGGGTATCTGTTGGGTCAGTCCTCATATACGATTCTTAATGGGGTGTGTATAAAAGACGAGCGGAAATTGAGGGCTGTGTAGGAGGCATTTGTCACAAATGGGAGACTACACTGGATGCCAAAATCTCTTGAGAGCATTTCAGGCCGCCCTACGAAGGCGACTGGGCGGCCTGGACACGTTCTTTGTCATTAGCCTCCCGAGTTCCACTCAAAAATTAGTTCGACACAGTTTTCTAAGACACGGACGTTGAATCCTGCCTCAATTGATGAAGCAGACAGTGGACTGACCGCCGCAGCAGCACTGCTAAAATTCGTCGGGCATAAAAGGTACCATTCGCAGCTTTGTCGGTGCCACCTAGATCAGACATGATCGCGTCTTTACCAACAGAAATACCAGTGTTACTACCTTTCACGATAGTGCTTCCCTAAGCGTTCGGATATAAAGCGTGAAAACAATCGCGCAGCGTTCATTCTGGCCATAAAAACGTATAATACTACATAGTGATCGTACAACAAAAGAGCCGTTTCCGGACACGTCAAAAAAACTAAAAGTATTGACAGACGCCAAATGATGTACCGAAAGGTAAGAAACGCCCAAACAGGCAAGCGTTTGGTCCAAATCCACCACTTGTGTTTCAGTTCACTAAAATGAATAGCTCAAAAGGTATTCTGAAATATTGGTATTATTCCTGCACTATTGCGTATCTTTCAACTAATATCCTAAAGTATTCCGAATCCTTATTTAGACGTTTTAATTATTCTGCTTATGATAATGTCGAAGCCACGAATCAATGTCACTAATCGGGCACATGCCTTATTGGTGACAGTAATAAATAACGTACAGTAGGTTGCCAAACTCATGCAATCCTACGATCTTTACAAGTAACTCCCTCTTACTCAAAC